CAAAATTTTCTGCACAAAAATTAAAAATTAGTACTCCCTCCGTCCCTAAATTACATTCCTTCTTTCTATTTTTGATAATTTTTTTTTAGTAAATCAACTCTCTTTTTTTGTTTTATATTTAATGCTTTCTCACTCATCCTTACCTAATCTCACTCATAATCCTTGTGCCAAATTACAATAAATATGATTGGTTAAAAATTTTGAATTAGGAGCATTTGATTGGTTTTTTTTTTTTTTTGCAAAGTATTGATGACATGTCATGAGTAATAACTAATCTATCTTTGTACTTCCCATTGCATTATCTAATTATTGTTATTTGTCTTATTCTTTACTCTTTAATTCCCGTGTAAATTTCCAAAAAGAAATGTAATTTAGGGACGAACGGAGTAGAAATTTTCATAAAATTTTAATATAGGGAAGTTAACATTATCATAAAACTCTTGATTGAACAAGATACCTATGTCTTGCATCATTTTCTTAAGTTCTTCCATTTTCTACCCAAATATCCGACAAATTCTTGATTACTTGTTTCTTTAGCCAACTTCATGTCATCCTCATACATTCCAACAACAATTTCATAATAACGACTATTAACATAACACTGAGTTATATGTGGCACGGACTCACAGAAGTTAAAATTAGCTTTGGTATTGGCTCTGTATTTCATAACATGTTTAGCATATGAGAGAACATCATCAGATAAGGTTGGTATTTCAAGCCATAAATTTGAGCTATTAGCTCATTGAAAATTGCACTAAGATTAGCATCATCTTTAACCGCCTTTTGTTCAAGTAGTGAAGAGCCTAATTTTGCAGCATCGTCATACTCATGTTGAGATATCAATCGTTTGATTTCCAATATAGATTCCTCCATTAATTCTTCAAACCACTACAAAATATAAAAATAAAAAAAAAACAAGTGAATTTTTTTTTTTTTTAAAAAAAAAAAGCAAATAAACGGATCAGCAGGTAGGCTGGGTACCCATTAAGAGAATTATGACCTTTAACCCACCCGTCAACCCGTGAATTTTAATGGGTTAAGTACTTGATGATCTAAACAAATTTAAAATCTAAAAAAAATTACTTGATTTTTTGTTTGCGAGTCAGGTTTTTCATCAGCCCTAATATTGAACTTTTAAAATGGCTAAGATTCAAAACCAATTCAACAATACATTATTGTCCCACCTTGACATATATTTATAGACTATAGCTTCAAGATATAATTTTCAGGTGTCTCTTTAATTTTTTTAATCTAAAGCCCAAAAAATTGTTAGATTTACGAAGAGTGGAAAATATTTTCCTTACTTGAAAAAGCAAGGCCACATTTTAGCAGTGCATTATAATATTTATTTTATAACAATTTCATGTAATTTGTTAATACATAAATAATTTTAATATTATTTATTTTAATTAATTTTTCATATTTTAATAACTAATTTTATTTCAACAATAATACCCTGTACACATATTTGTCGACAAAATACGATTGGAAGAATTTTATTAAGGATAAACGTCAATTATTACGCATACACTTTGAATTTGAAATAAACCGAGTTAAGCACACAATTAGGTACTCAATTCTTTAAAATTTCACCTTTTAGGTACTCAATTCTTTTTACTAGGCCTTTTGGGTACTGAGTTAAGAATTCAAGCCAAAAAAATTAAATCAGCCAAAGAATTGAGTACCTTGGGTTAAAGAATTTAGTACCCTTGGTTAAGTATGTGGGCCCCACTCGATTAAAAAATTAATATTTATAAAAAAAAATGTATTGAATTAGACTAATTAATGATTAATATTTATAAAATAAATGTGAACAAGCCCTTAATTAATGTTTTTTTTAAGTCATAGGTCAAAATGAAATCACGAAAAACCAGTGCACGCACGCCTCGGCGGCATCGCGTGCACAGATTAAAAGACTAGTTAGAAATTATTAGAAGTGCATGTTTTGGACAATAATTGCTTTAAATTTACACCATCCAACTAATTAATCATTTTTAAATAAAAAGGACAGCATGTAATAGCTAATCTATATCTATACTCTATACTTTATTTTAGTATTTAAAAACACAAACCATCATTTCCATCATGCCACATGTAAACTTAGTTTTTCACCAATGGCACATGCCACCTCACCTTTTCATTAATTCATTCATTAATCCCCTTTATAGCTTTAATTCAATACATGTGAATGTTATTTGATTCACTTTCCCCCAACTTAATATCTTCTACAATTGCATTTAATTTTCACCTTTCTTCTCTTTTATAAACTATGTTTTTTCAATTAAAACATATTACAAAATAAAATCTATATTGTAAAAACATTCCGTGCATTGCAAGGGCCAAAAGACTAGTTAGTAAAAATACAATATTTTTACCATTTATTTTGTATTAGAATAACACACCTATCTATAAATTCACCTAATATTAGGATTTATATACTACAGTACCTAATTAATACTACTATGATTTAAGGTTTTAACATAAAAAAAAAAATTTAAAAAAAATGAATTTCCTCAAATCCTCGTGGCACAATGCTATTGATTGGATAAATGAAACAATTTGTTGTGTTCTTGTGTACCTCCATTGTAAACTTCATCGGTCCCTTAGCTTACATTTTGAGTAGTCGGCAAACTTCCCAATTGAGTAAAGAAGGTGGCCTACAATGTAGGTATTCATGTCATTATATTGTTAGTAGGGTAAATGGAACTATTATAAATATTTTTTTTATATAAATATTAATTTTTTAATCGGGTGGGGCCCACATACTTAACCAAGGGTACTAAATTCTTTAACCCAAGGTACTCAATTCTTTGGCTGATTTAATTTTTTTGGCTTGAATTCTTAACTCAGTACCCAAAAGCAAAGTAAAAAGAATTGAGTACCTAAACGGTGAAATTTTAAAGAATTGAGTACCTAATTGGGTGCTTAACTCAAATAAACCTGACATGTAGAAGAATATTTACTATTGATAACCATTATGCTGCGGGAGGTTCCATCCCAAAACCATATGGTAATAGGATGAGTAGCCCCTTAGCCTTTAATAAGTGATTAACTCGTTATTTGGTAGAAAATACTTTAACATTGACTAATTTACTCGCATGACGTAAGACATTGCCACGTGAAAAATACTTTTTTGATGTTGTGCCACTGCCACGTGGAAAATACTTTTTCACATGACACTGTCACGTGGCAAATAATATTGTCGTGACATCTCATATGACCTTTTTAATAAGGGAATAAGGGGATTTATTGACAGGCTAAAGTCGTATCACCTAATCAAAAGTAATTCCTAAAATCACTAATTAATAATAGATAGGGAAGTAGGGTCGAATCCACAGGAAAACATGTTAATTTATTCCTAGTTAATTAAAATATTCTAAATTATTAAGTAGCCAAATTGTTGTTATGAAAGGAATTAAACTAAGGAGATTAAGAATAGAGAGAAATCAATTAATAAAATACTAGGGCATAGGTTCACCAATAAATAATATTTCAGGGTAAAACACAATAATCAATCATCAATGCATTAATTAATAAGATCATAAAGAGATTTCGCTACGTATTACAACCACATAATTAATCTACCAGTATTAAATCGCATATCTCGAAATCTTGATTTAACCATTTAAGAATTAACTTGCACATAGAAACTAAGCCTAAACATCAATTCTCAACTCTCGATTCTCGAATAAATAAATCTTGCATAACTTATACAATTAAACCTAGCCAAATCTAATTGCATAGCATTAAATCTATCAATAGGAAATTTAATTAAGCAATAACATTCAACAATAATAAGTTACCCCTTCATATTATTTATGAATCCCCACAACCCTAGAATTAAACTATTTGTGCAGAATTAAAACTAAACTAATCAAATCTATTAAATTAAACATAATAAAAATAAGAATTAATATAAAGAGAATAATAACAGTAAAACAAAATAATAGAATTGATATGAAGAGTAGAAACAGAAACAAAACTAAAATTAATCTGAAAAAACTAAACTAAGAAAACCTACCTAACTCCTACTCCTACGTAACTCCCTCCTCTTATAAGAAAGGAAATTGGAATTTTAGTTAAAGTCAAACCTTCTTTCCCACCAAAACTAATTACTTTGTATATCAAGATGTTGCGTGAAAGCTCTGTGAGTTAGGTATAATCCACCCAAACCGACGATGCCCAAAACAGCAGGCCCAACTTTACAAACCCAAATTAGTTCACAACATACGGAACTTCCGCCCGAGCTCAGCCCGATCAAGCCTGTTTGTTTGCCTTGGGCTTGAATTCTTTAGTACTTCGTATTAGACTGTAACAAAATTAGTACTCTTCTACTACAAACCAATCAAGCTCTTAATCACCGAACTAACTTTAATTAGCTCGACCTTAAGCTTCAAACATACGGTCATAAAATACGATTAAATTTCAATATCTTCGTAGTGGTTTAATAAGCTCGGGAATTTAATATATCTACAAATTCCTACAAAATAATATTAACTCTACAAAAACACTAGAAAACGTATATTAGTAATAAAAAATAAGCTCCGTATAGCTCAAATAAGCACAAATATGATCGTGGGACAAAGAATAAAAACATATATAAAATAGACTCATCACTTGTTCCCGAATAGGGTGAATTTTGCAGATACTGAGTCACTGTTGTTGAGCAAATGTTGCCAAGGAAGTGAGGCTCACTGGAGTAGGATGTTGGATCTACTTGAAGATCTGAAGGAATCTTCTATTCAGTACAAGTTAGATGGAATTAAGTCTGGTTCTGTCCATGATAAAGCTGTTCGAGATCATAACAACTCACCAGAGGACAACCTCAGTTGGGATCGTCTTTTGTTCAAGTCAGATGCCATGACTTTTACTATGTATTGGAGTAGAATACATAGGAATTGTCATAGTCACTGGAGCTGATATTATATTGATTGCTATCTGCGGGGTTAGATCCATTATACCTAGCTATGCTTTTCCTGGAGAGCCATTCTCCTTTATCATCATGCAAGTTCGGGTTGGGGGAGTCCCAGTTGATCTATTAGATCAACAAATTTTGTCAATCTATGCTTAGTCCCTGCTAAGTCATCAAAATAGGCAATTAATAATCCATTGAAGCTTCCTTCCACCGACACCACCAATTCCACCATGTCACCACCATCTGCATCACCTCCTCCTTCCAGCGACACCATCTTACTTTCTGAAGTAATACGCTTCAATACAGGTTGGCAGGTTGCCTAACTTTTGCTTTAAATACAAGGTCTCAATAATCCCTAATCCCCACTTATGGGATTAAGGTTGATTGATTGACTCTTCCCTAACCTTTAAGAAATGAATGTTCAACAAGAAGTTAAACATCCAATGAGATAAGATACTTGAAAAAAGAAAAAAAACATCCAATGCACCTTCAGGAAAAGCATTTAGCAATAGTTATTAAATAAAAATGCCACAAATTAGAACAATTTGTAAGTAAGAATAAATAGATGATAACTTGTGGGATGCCATGGACCATGGTGATCATAATACTTTAATCGAACAGGCGACTGAGGCTTTTGGTAAATTATTCAATGTGTTCTCGACTGACATCTGATTTGGAGTTCGATATTGTGATAAGCATATGACCAGTTCCTCCAAAACTAATGCATGTCTCAGGAGAAACTGGATCATTCCTACTTCCCGTCCTAATCCATAGTATTCCTTTATCACTACTCTTTTGAGGCGATACCTGCAACATAAAGGGATTTCATGATCTGTACTAAAAAATTCTTGTTCCAACTCCAGTTCTTCTCTCCTATACGAACAGTGTGTGACTATGCGACCATACGTAGAGTGTTCGGCACTGTAATACATAGTGAGTCCCTGCAAAGTAAGCAACAATAATAATCAAAATTTAAAATTTGTAAAATAAACTTAGATTTACAACATTGCCCATATGTGATCGATTCCATGAACTTATAATGATACTAAGACCAATTGGTTGTTAGTGTAGTGCTGATTGGAACAACACTTAATAGGAGGTAGAATTTGTTATATACACCCTAGTGTACCCCGACTAACTTATGGGTTGGTTTTTGATCTTTATCTATTAACCTATACTAAAAGCGAATCCTTCCATGACACTTGTCATTATGTTGTGAAAAATTTTCCCGCCTTTTTCGCTTTTTTTTTTTTTTTTTCTTTTTGGCAAAATCTTTTAGTAAACTACTTATACCTTATGTATTTTATTTCCAGTTTGACAACCATATTCCACTTATACTCAAATGAAATATTCGAGAATTTTTTTTATATACTTTATATTTTGTAATATTATTATTAAAAAAATCTATCAACCGTGCATTGCACGGGATTTTAACCTAGTTTATTAATAAAATGAAAAATAATCATCAAAATGAGAACATCTCAAATACTCATGGGTGTACAGTAACCTGAGTGTATATAACAACCTTCCGAAGGAAAAACCTGTGTTCTATGTCCCGCAACAACAATTGACATAAGACTGAAATCTAACCACCCACAACTAGTCCTCAAATCCTCAAATTCGGATTAACCCAAAGGGTGAATCGGGTGGAACACTAAAATAAAAAATAATGATACTAAAATCACACAACAACCTCTGTGAAAACAAGTGTTTCTAAGACAGGTGAACAGTTGAGAAATGAGAAGGGGCAACAACAGTTTATTCCAGTAATTATCAGTACCGCCACCACCCAGCTCTAGATGTGTCAGATTAGGAAACACGGGCAGTTGATCCTTTAAGACCTTTTCATCAACATAGTCGAACTCCTACAACCACAATTGGTAAATTTCATAATTCATAATGTACAGATAAAAGGATAATTCAGCTTAAAACAAAATTAGAGTTTGAGACATACCTGTACTATAAAGCTGCACAACGATAAATGTTGAGCATAAGACAAGGGTCTAACGAGGCTAAGCATTACCTCAATCATTGGTACAGATTCCTCAAATTTTAAGAGACTCTCTATCCGCAAAACTGCTTTAACAAGACAATGCATTGCTGGGATTGAGTAACATTTAGCTAAATTATCACGGTATTCAAGGAGCTCCAAATTGGGAGTATTGATAAGCACAAAGTCACTGTTATCTTCTTGAAAATCAGGCCATTTAATCATTATTAAACACAATCTTCGAAGGGATGTCGATGTTATAGCTGTGATGTTGACATGGTTGGTACAGGGTTTGAATGTAAGGTCTTCAAGTACAGGACAGCTTGAAACTAGCCTCGGCAGAAAGCCATCCTCAGAAAGAGAAAGCGAAGAGAAGAGAAGCAGTTTCAAGTTTGGAAGACGATAAGATGGCATGGTAAAAACTTGATCAAGACCAAGATTGACCTCGAGCTTCAACGTCTCCAACGTTTCACATGTGAAAATAGCCGGGGGCAGCTGGGAATCACCTGGTTCCCTCACCAGAATGCGGAGGTCAAGCTCCCTAAGGCCGCAAAGGTTCAATGGATAAGAGATCCACGTATAAAGTCCCGGAGATTTCAAGTGAGGGAGACAACCTTGCTTACACCCAATAACAGTGCAACCATTATACTTAAAGTAGGTTGTATCAAAGTCCGCAGTGTTAACATGAAGTCTAAACTTGGTGAGATACTGAGATTGATGTGCTTGGAGTAAAGTATCGACAAAGCTCACAAAAGTGGGGAAACGTTCAATTGCATAGGGATGTTCCAAACAAAGAGATATAGGTGAAATATCCAAGTCAAGGCTTGTAAGCAAAGGGAAAACACGCCTCAATCTCCTAGACAAGACAGAAGTAGCGGCAGCATCCTTGGTGGGAAGCAAAGAAAGGATCCGAATTAACAATTCATCAGGCAAACTGGTGAGCCTATCTACCAACACTTGACTAACATTGTGATTTTGAACATCCCATACAGTAGTATAAGTTGTATTGCACTGCATGGTCTCGAGCTCCTACACCAAGCAATTCCTGCTCTATATATATAAATAATTAATCAGAAAATACAGTTAGAAAAAATCTTGACCTGTTTCTTTTATTACGTTTGTCAATGCAAAAATTTTACAATCCTATAACTTTCATTCTCCATAAGTAAAAATTATAAAAGTTATATACTACTTCCGTTTCATATTTTTGGAACTTTGGAATATTTTATATCACACAAATAATGTCCAAAGTTGAAAAAAACATGAAACAAAGGTAATTTTATGATAGTACTTATTGAGACGAATTCAAAATGATCCCACAAAATATGGTCAAAAGAGGGGTAATGAATAGCGTGAAAGTCAAAGCTGGTCTAGTAAAAAAAAAAAGAACGGAGGAAGTATATAACAAGAGTCTATTCTCTTCAGATTATTTTCTATTCAGTTTCTAATATCCTCCTCTCATAAAATTTTTAGTTCACTTCAGCTTAGCCAGTCAATAAAAACAGGCCCTAAGACTGCAATCATTGTTTCTCGAGCATGTCCCAGTTCTCATAGTTCTCACTTGGTATTTTTGTAAATAAACCAACAATTTTATTTAATTGTGGGGATTTATTCACCAAAATACCCTAATAAGAACAAATTTAGGGAATTTCCCTTCTCTAAATTCTGATCTAATTGACTGGATGAATCGGGTAAAACAACTTACGAGTTAGAATAAATGTACGGAATCGAATATGTAACAATGTAGATGCATCCTTAAAATAATCAAATTACAACCAATATATAGGCTATTATCAGTCCACCTTAGAAGAACCCTAAATTGAATTAAATTGAGGATTAACACTAAATTTTGAAATTGATATTCGATGATTTTAATAATTAAAAAGAAAAAAACATCTTACCTCAAAAGCTGCTTCAATGGAAGTATGCTAGATTCAACAACAGAATGAAGAGAAAGCTTTCTTCTGTATTTTCTGTGCGTATTGTTTAGCGCCTTATCAATGCTTTATACTCCGTACTTCGTATATATAGTCTAGCTGTTGGTAAGATGTCAAATTAAGAATTACTCCATCCGTTTTTAAATACTTGTTCAATTTCTCCATGCGCGAAGTTTTATCAAAAATTGAAGAAAATAATAAAATATTAAGGTAGTGGGGTAGTTAGAAAATAAAAAATTGTAAAAAGGAAAAGTAGTAGAAGAATAGGAGGAGAGAGAGTATTATGTTGGGTCCATCAAATATGACAAATAAATTAAATATTGTAAAAACTTTCTAAAAAAGGAAATGGAGCAAGTAATTAAAAACGGCTGAAAAAGGAAAGTGGAGCAAATATTTAAAAACGGAGGGAATACTTTTTTTTTTAATTTATGAACTTGGAATTAAATTAAAAAAAATTAATTAATTAATGGTGGAAGAGTTAAAATACAAGACTGTCCCGTTCACTTTCGTTTATTTTTGCTTTACTGATTTTCTATGATATTTTCTTCTCAAAGGTACTGATTTTTACTAAACTAAAATTATTTTTATAAAATTTTGATTTTTACCACCTCTAAAAAATCACTTATTTACTTTTAATACCTTCATAAAAAAAATTTATTTTAAAATCACATAAAAAAATAAAAATTGGCTTTTACCACCAATTACTGCAAACTAATAAATTCCGACGATAAATCTGTTAATGGGACTTACTATGTCCACGTGTCATCATATTATTGGGTAAAACTAAAAAAAAATCCAACAATATGGTGACACATGGACTATTATTGGTGAAACATGGACATGGTAGGCCCCACTAATAAATTTATAAACGGAATCCATTAGTTGGCGGTAATTAGTGATAAAAGTCAACTTTTTTTTTTATGTGGTGATAAAATAAATTCTTTTTATGGAGGTGATAAAAGAAAATTTTTTTCGTTTTTTGTAGGTGGTAAAAGTCAAAACAACCTTATGTTTACTAAATTGAACCTATTTATATAGAACTAAAATTATTTTTGCTGGAATGAAATTATTTTTTTATTGAATATTATTTCGTATATTTTATGTGAAATGAACGCGGTAAACTAAATAATTAATTGGTTGATTGATGGTCAAAAAGAAGATATTTGGTGAGCTTGAGTTAGAATAGGACTTGAAGCCAAACTAATCAAAATTTTATTATACTAGTAGTATGTTTTGGTCAGGTCTAATTGGTCAGGTAAAGATTTGACTAAATTATTCATGATTTTCCTACAATAATATTTAGGAGGAGACAGTTATTTTGGGACAATCTATCCTAAATTTAATTGTAGATTGTAGCATATTATTTATGAACAGTATTTTTCTTTATATAGGAAAAAAAAAAATTTAAATTCTTCCAGTTCCAACTAATCTAGTATTCTTGGCAACAACAGTACAACCCAATGATACTCTTCATAGTTCTCTAAAAAGATTTCCAATAATGTGGCCTAGAATCTTACTTACCGAAGTTATACGCTTCAATACAGGTTGGCAGGTTGCCTAACTTTCGCTTTAAACACAAGGTTTCAATATTCGTTAATGTGTTTTTTCTATAAATTATTGCTATTAGTATTACTCTTGCCTAACCTTTTTGAAATGAATGTTACCATCAAGAAGTGCAAAAATTGATAAATGTTTAGTTATCAATCTATTTATTGTTAGTTTTGAAAGTAAAATTTGATGTAAAATCAACAATCTATTTTTCTTTGGTGTATAGGAAACTATAAAGGCTAGTGATGTAGACGAACTCAATCGTGCAGGTTGAACATTTAAAAATCATATGAAAAGAATCCCAGTTCGGTGACGCCGGACACACATACAATTAAAGTCATAATAAATGTAGTATGGAGATATAGCATGGGTAGTAGCACTTGTTGATTAATTTATATGTTCTTTTTTTTTTTCTTTCTCTTGCTATTTTAAGTTTAGGGAAGTACAACTTCACAAATCACAAGCATGTGAACATGGAACTTAAATGAAGGAGAAGGTAATCTTACTTTTACTCTGTACTACTTTTACTTTTATTTTTTCTAAGATAATTATTATTAATTCATGTATTTGGGTTGCCATATTTTTAGATATTCTTGCCTTGTGATATCATCATGAGTTCAACAACTTGAGTTTTTCTCTGTTATAAGCTCCATTTATAAATTGGTAAGTCCTACTTTCTCATTTCTCTTTGCTAGTTTATGTTTTCTATAAGTTCTTATTTGTGGAGGTTTTTGTAAAGAGTTCATTAATATTGGCAAGGGGGTTAGATCATATAAAGAATTGATTCACCTATTTTGTGAGAACATGAGTGAATTAATGATGACGAATAAATCTTAGATATGGGCCATTGTAAAGAATTTAATTATATCATACACATTAACACATACATAAATATAACACACTAAGATTAAATGATTTTGGCATTTTTTTCCAAATCTGAGACAGGGTTATCATGATTGTTATCTGACTTTTGATCTTGTAAGTTTGTACTTAAACTTGGTTGCTATGATTTTCTGTGGTATATTTACAACTAAGAAATGGAACTTGTTTAGAATTGCAATTCTTTCCTCGAAGGGGCTACTTAAGCTTCTGGTGTTTTGCAGGTGATATATTGGTATATGATGGCCAGTAAAAACTTAAAGGAAGTTGCATTATCAGGGTCTTTTGATATTAGAAAAGAATTCCGTCTTCAGAAGGATGGTGCCAAGAAAAGGAGATTTCGCCGTGCAAGGAGTGCTCCTGTAAGGGAGTTTTCTGAAAAAGTAAGTAGTAGTGATGCAGCTGATAATAATGCTTCTACAAAAAGTCCAGAAAATCTATTGAAGAGTATTCACCCAAGCCTCAGAAAAGTAGCCGTGGCCTTGATTATATACCTCAGTGTTGGTGTTCTCTGCTTCTACCTGATCAGAAATCAGATCAGTGGTAAAAAGACAAATGCTGTACTTGATTCTCTTTACTTTTGTGTGATCACAATGACCGCGGCTGGATATGGGGACCTAGCTCCAAATACCGACCTTGCAAAGCTCTTTGCTTCTGCTTATGTCTTTGTAGGGCTGGCTTTGATTGGATTGATCCTTAGCAAGGCGGCAGATTACCTTGTTGAAAAGCAGGAGGCACTGCTTGTTAGAGCATTGAGTATGAGTCATGAATTTGGTCCTAGTGACATTATGAAGAAAATTAAAAGAAACAAAGCAAAGCATAAAGTTGTCTTGATTTTTGTATTTCTCTTGTTTCTTATGCTAAGTGGAACACTATTTCTGAAGTTTGTTGAGAAGATGAGATTTTTTGAGGCATTTTATTGTGTGTGTGCTACTGTTTCTACCCTGGGATATGGATACCCAAGTTTTAGTTCAATGGGAGGTCGAGTTTTTGCAATCTTGTGGATTTTGATCGGAACCATATGTGTAGCACAGTTCTTCCTTTATCTTGCAGAGTTACATTCTGAAAGGAGACAGAATCATCTGGTTGAGCGTGTTCTTACCCGGTGCATGACTGATTTTGATATAGAGGCAGCTGATCTCGACGATGATGGAGTTATTGAGTATGTGAAATTTAAGATACTCTTATCCAATACCACATTTATATATATGTTTCTTAGCTTTCAGCATATAATATTCCATCTATAATATTGTTTGTTCTGATTTTCGGATTGTTTTCATCTGCAGTGCTGCTGAGTTTGCTTTATATAAGCTGAAAGAGATGGGAAAAATTACACAGGAAGATATATCACTTGTAATGGTAGAATTTAAAGAACTTGATGTTGATCAATCAGGGGCGATATCTACAGCTGACATAACATTAGCTCAATCATCTCCACCAGCAGCAAAATTGCCTTCTGAGAGGAAGACTCCTTAACATACTGAAGTTTGAAGATATTTTGCAAGTTTGATCTTTGAATATTCAATATCATACCAAATATGTAGATTGTTGTCTGATCACTATTCTTTCAGTAATTTGTATGGGTTCTAAATTCCTGAATCCTGCTATATTACCCTGAAACTGTATCTTCTGATACACTATACTTCTAACATTTTTTGTCCAATTGTTTGGAATTAATAGTTACCTTGTTGAAGTAGTTTGAACTTTGAACTAGTAGTATATGATGTGTTAGAGCTGCCTTTTAACTTGAAATAGTTGAAAAAGAACTGTAAGTCAACTTTACATGAAATTAAAGTTGAGGCAAATTTAAGTTTTAACTACTAATTATTGGCTTGAAAAGTGTGGGCTTAAGTTGATTCAGAGTATAAATGTTACGAGATGAGCAACCTCAAGCTTGGCTTGGATGTGCAACACGGCCAACACCCCAATGCCATGTCTATCAAAGTCACATTTTCTAGGGTAAAAATTAGGAATTCCTCAAAGCTTTTTTAAATTTATTTATTTTTTATTTTATTTTTTTTACACAAAAAGAAGCTTGCAATTGGATCACATGTTGTATCAAATCTTTCATATTCCTTTTTTTTTTATCAATTTTGGATTGAATTTAAATGAATTACGTAGTAGAATCATGTTGAGTCACTAAGCTCTAGGGCGTCTTCTATATAATGATGTTATTGGAGTGGATGTGCCACATTTAGTACCTCCTTAGTTTCTTTGTATTGTTTTTAAGTTTTTTGGGGCTTTGCCTCGTGTGCACCAAAAAAAAAAATAAAGCTTATTAGTGGTATTTAACATAATGGTATTATTGGAGTGGTTGTGCCACGTTTAGTACCTCCTTAGTTTCTTTGTATTGTTTTTTCAGTTTTTGGGGCTTTGCCCCTTGTGTACACCCAAAAAAAAAAAACCCTTATTAGTCTTATCATGTCATCTTAGTGGAGAATTTTTAATAGTCGTACTGCCAATTCATATCTAAAATGATCGGTCACTCAATCTTTTATTAATTCTATGGTTTTATAAAGTCGTACATAGATATTTGTAAATAGTATACCATTTGCTTGTATAACAAACAATAATTTAGGTTGCTTCAGTTGAATTCTTTGTGTTTCAATAAAAATAAAATATTTGTCAAAAAAAAATAAAAAAAAAATAAAATAACTAAAATAAGTCACTAGCAATCATCTAGTGCTCTAGCATTTTCACCTCTGGTCCACACAACTAGTAATCTAGCAAGTAATTTACACTTGATAAAGGTGGCAAATGAATTGTCCAAATTAGGTTTGAGTCAATTCAAGTCATCTCATATTTGAACAATGATCTAATTTGGGTCAAATTGTAGTCAAATAAGGTCAAGTATATTTATCATGATTAACTTATAAATATTAGCGTAATAAAACTATTCAAGCTAGATTATATAAAGTCAATTTTGATTTAGCTGAAAATTGTTTAGCGTAATCTTTGGTACACATCATGTTATGGTGCTTTGACTAATCAATTAATTCAATACAAATTTGATTATGCGGGATCAATGGCATACATGCAACCAATACAATCACTTAGACGAACATGATTGATCTAGGTTCAAAAATTCCACTTCATACCTCCACCTCATATTAAACGTCAATATACCACATGATAATATGCCATCTAACTATACAATCTAAGATACGTTAGATTTTCAACTAAGTTTTACTCCGTCCATGATCACGAATATGAATATTCCAATTTGATAGTCCTTGCTTTTATTACCTACCAATTGTTTGAGGTCCACAATCTAGTGAATCTACCTTCTTTTCACTTTATGCTCTTGGCACCAAATGCCAATGAAAAGAACAAAGAAAACCCTCCAAAAATAGAATGTTCATGTAACATTTTCCACTTTAGTACTACCCGAGGGGTAATTTAGTCATTTCACTTCTCACCCCGTATCAGATTCGCCACATCTCTTGTCCATTTCTTTCCCATTCTCTCTCTTCTCAACTCATTTTCAGAGCTTTCTAGGGTTTTCTCTCTAAATAAATTTGAGGAAATTAGGGATTTTCGCGCCAATTAATCCCTCATTTGTCGTCAAATTCGCTAATTAAAGTAGAAATTTATATCAATTGATAAAGAAGTGCGTTGTGAATTGGGCTTAATCGCCCTTTAATTGCGCAAATCGATGATCGTCATTGTTCCATGGACCAATCTTCACTGCACCCCACTTCCCCTGTTGAAGAAGATGATGAGTGGGGTATGCCCCTTTCCTTTATTTATGTTTTCCTGCTAATTTGAATTGATTTATTGTGTTTTTTACTTGTTTTTTTAGCAAATTGTTGAACTTGCTATGTTTGGTTTTGCTTGTTACTGGTTTGATGATTATGTTATTTTTGAAGTTTATGAATTTCAATGATTCATGTTAGGGTAATGATTTTTCCAATTTGGTTATTAATTACACCTTATGAAATGAATTTTTAGGCAGTTTTTAAATTTATAATTATTGACATGTACTTGTCACTAGAACTAGAGCAATGCTAAGTTGCCAACTTTTTGATTGATTATACTTCGAAAAAGAGGGCGATTGAGGTAATGAGAAATTTGGGTGATTTAGATGGATTTCGAGGTTTGAAAATATTGGGTTATTAAAGCAGGCTTTCACTTATGCTTAGGTTAAGTAGTGGATAGGTTTTCTTTTGATGATTTTGAGTTCATTTTTGAGTTTGAACAATGGAAGAACTTGATATGATTCTTGTCGAGGTTGGGTCTAAGACTCTGAGGAAATCAATATATATACAAGTACGCAACTATAGTCCGTAAAGAGTCAAGGATTATTGATATTGTTTTCATTGATTGTAGTTTGTGCTGTTTCTTATATTCTTATGTTTGATTGTCGTAATCAAATTAATGATGACATTGAACTGGTTAGATTGAATGTCCTATAGTCTATGGTCTCTTAGTCTTGATCTTTGACATTTTGACTGCATGTATTACTTTACTGATTAATATAAGTTTTGTTGGATAGGAAAAGACTAATAGAGCAATCAAGTCTATGCATCCCTCTAAACTGTGCATCACTCCAACCAACATGTTAGATGTGTCTTTGACTAAATGAGATGTTGTAGACACCAATTTCTGAAGTAGTAGTTTGTAATGAGGGTTTTTTTTTTGCTTTTCAGTATTAAAAGATGATGGGAAGACAGTAGCTGATATACTAGTTTCAGTTTTGTCTAGAATAACACAATATGTCATATGTGTAGGGTGATTTCTCATCATGCATTGATTGCATTCATTTTATAAGGATAACAACAGCTTTACCTCATGGTTTTACCTTTCTTGTTACCTATTTTAAGATCTATGTATTTTGGTCAATGTAGAAGTGAGCTTTTACATAAAAAAGGAATCTCAGCTGGTGAACTATTTTGATGTGATGCTGATAGTCTCACAAGTGGGAACCTTGCTTGTTTGGTCAGCTTACATTTCCAGGTTTTGAGACTTGAAAATTGTAAACTGCTACTTGTATCCCACTAAGATAATGAGGATGAACTGTTTTACTTATTAGACTGACTCTTTTAACTGCAGAGACATACATCCCCGTTGCTTGCCATAACGCCTCATCATGTTAAAGCTGCTAGCTTGATATTATCCATTATTGATTGACCCTATGATTTGGCAACTTGTAAATGTGATTTTTGTTACGAGTTTATATTGCAGATCTTATTCTTATTTTCTTGCGTTTAAAAATGATCCATTTTCATTTTTGTCTATTTAAATACATTTATGTATTATGTGTGAACTACTTGTTGAGCTATTGCCTTTTGCTGTCAGCGGCACTGTTTTTCCTTCGTGTTTTTTTTAATTCATTTTCATGCTGCCTCCAGATACTGATGGATTTGTAATTCCAAGCTTGGGAATAGAAAACCCTGACCAAATTGAATCAGATCCTCCGAAGGTAGATGTCTCCAAGTCTGCCCCTTTGAAGGTAAATGTTCATTTTTTTTTTAATTTCTTGTCCATATACACTGTAGCTTGGTAGGCTTTGATAGCTTGACAGATCAAACATACCATTTCTGATCGATTGTAAAAACCCTTTTCTGGACGGTCAGGATAATAAACTAGAAAAAATTTACTTGGGACCCCACGGAGCTCCACCACAACAGAAGCAACAAGAGCAAAACCCCACCAATTGTAAGCAGCGTTTCAAACAAAAGCTCAAGGAAGCAGACAAGAAGATTGGCAGCACAGGGCGAGAGAATAGAGTCGAGAGCTTAAGAGAACTTGTTGGTGGCAGTGGTAAGGTGAGTGGAAAGATGGCCAAGGGTTCGTCCAAGGATTGGCTTGACCCACACTGTGATGAGTCGTTGTTCGTTGGAAGGAATCGTCAGTGAATCCTTTACAAGCTTGAGATTACTTTCATACTTTTACTTGTTTTATTTGTAGAACCTCTTTTTTACATATCTGAGAGTTATAAGGAGCATAGGCATGGTGCCCCTTGATTATGAACCTGTTTATAACATTTGTGTTGTTTCTTTTGGTTATCTGCATCTATTTCTATTTATGCAATGGGTTTGGTTACTTTTAAAACCATTCTATTTTTGTAGTCCCTAGTCCCGTAAACTATGTCGTGCAAGTCCTAAGCCTTCAAATTATACTGATTTGTAGTCTAGATTACTCATTCCCAGGCAAGCCTCCCTACCAGCAAACGGATGCTAAGTTGCAAAAAAAAAAAAAAAAAAAAAAAAAAAAAGAGATAAAATAGAGTTTTTGTATTTCAGTACTACTCTTGAGTCTTGACAACGAATTGTACTGCATCGGTGCTTCCATAGTTTTTTCCCATACTTTCATTCTAACTAAACTGGTTTCGTAGTTCATGCTTGACATTTGAAATTCACAAAAACAAAATGGTAAATTGTTAACTGTTAAGGTAGCTAATGTCTATTAAGAAAGTATTTTCTCAAAAAAAAAAAAAAAAAAAAAAAGGGCTTGTAAAGTGCAGAATGTTGGTAGTTCCTGGGAATAGTTCTTGACATGCACATTCTAATATCAATGGTTCAACAATTTTCAGAGTTTTCCAAATAGTAGAGATTTAAATTATAAGTTGATAAACAATACTTGTATAATAATCAAACAATTCATACAACATATACTTCGTATATGCTCAATGATTAATTTGACTACCTCATACTAAAAAAATGGTTGAACTAAGTTCCAGCATCTCTATCAGCAACTTTTAGCAAACTGGATCTAGTATGTCAGTTTCAATTTTCTCTGGTGAGCTAAATTGCTGTCTACGTATCTCTTCTCATGGAAGGCCAAGAAATTCCAAACCAGTGGCAGATGGAGTCAAACCCAGCTGAGAGAGGTACTCGGCTTTGTAGAATCTACTCAGATGCCTCATCCCATTGTCGCACAGGATTGTAACAATGGTATGGCCAGGACCCAGCGTCTGAGCAACCCTAACAGCTCCAACACAATTCATGGCTGAAGAGCTACCTAAGAAAATCCCATCGTTCTTCAGGAGGAACCTGATGCAGTTTAAAAATTGACTGATAAGCTTTGTTGAACGGAAAGGAAACCGGGAAACAAAAATAAAAGAAACGAAAGAGTCAAATATGGAGAAAAAAACTTCAGAATATAATAAAAAAAACAGTATCTTAGTGCATACATGGAGTTAAGTACAATATTTACTACTGGAGAACATATTCATGAAAGGGCAAAATTTATCCAAGGGGTCTAGGAGATGTTTTGCCAAAAGTTTTTTAAAGCTTAAAAAAAAAGGGAAACATTTAGAAATGAGAGGAATGTGGCATGTTTCATCAAGTTTTCATGCAACTGCTGCTAACTTGCCAAGAGCCACCAGTTAAAAAAGTAAGGATCGATTACAAACATATGGTGTCAACAGCCAAGACATTAGAAGATATGAAAGCATGGGCTTACCTAGACATCTCAACAGCCTCCTTGTCTGTGCCTCGGAAAGCGCCATCTAGCCTGGCCTTCATGAAATTATGAGTCAACCTATTTATTCCAATGCCCTCAGTTATAGTGTCAAAGGGGTTCTTTAGCCTCTTCCCTTCAGCCTCCTCCTTTGAATACATCACTCCCCTTGTTACTCTATTGAACAAGCCAGAACCAGGAGGGTCAATCAGGAAGCACTTGATATTATCGTTTTTCTCCTGTCAAGAAAGGAGGAATCATTTATTACTTTCCGACTTTCTGCAAATAAATGCATTACATATCAAAAGGCAGAACTCACCTTAAGGAAATGAGAAACACCTGCTAATGTGCCCCCAGTTCCAGCAGCCGCTACAAATGCATGCAGCTTTCCTTCAGTTTGTTCCCAGATTTCAGGCCCTGTGCCTTCACAATGGGCTCGAAAATTGGCCAAATTTTCAAACTGGTCAGCAAAGAAACCTCCAGTACAGTCCCTTGAAAATGTGTGATTTTTCTTCTGCTCTTCAAATATTTCACCATTTGTTTGCTCTTGGTTTCTGTTAGGTGTTTGACTATTTTTACCATATTTAGCTGCCTGCTCATTAGCTTCTGATGCCCGTCGTCTAGCTACATTTACAAAGTGGTCTCTGTGAGTGATTGACACTGGTCTGACCCGCTCAACTGTAGCACCAAGTGCTTCAATAATCTGAGACTGTTTGTTTTGGAGGGGGAAAAGGGACAGTAAGAAACCAAAATAAAACTGCATAGAAGATTAGAAGAAAAGAAGGTTCATGCTTTGGTGGAGTAGGCCAAAACATACCTTTTCTATAGCAACATCATCCGGAATCACAACATGACATTTACATCCGTAAGCAGGAGCAACTGTTGCGAGACTAATGGCAGTACTTCCAGCACTACCTTCAGTAACCACTCCACCAGGAGCTAGTTGACCAGATGCCAATGCCTGAGCATATGCCACATATTAGAGGAAACAGAAACATATGCAATCAATATGAACAAAAAATAAAAACCTTCCCTCGTATAGAGTACATCACATTAAAACCAAAGCGAGAACAGTTAGAACACTACATCTGAAACAGGGTCAAAGACCAACAAAAACGCAAGGCAGAAGCCTTGCATGTATACACAGCCACACAGGTATGGGTCCGGCCGTCTAGGTGCTAAACTCAACATTTAATGTGAATTTTGGATGACCTAGCCTACATGTGTTGTCTGTCCATACCCGATTGAAATTATTGTGTATCCAGCAGAGTAATGTGAAACGAAGCATCTAAATTACTACACACCTAAATTCCCTATATATATCTTTCTTGACTATGTCTAAGCACAACAGGGTACCTTCAACTACTACCTCACTAAGTTGCATGATACTCAAGAATAGTTGTGGTAATACAACAGGATTGTGTTATGAAATTATGTTGTATAAGCTACAGCATAATGTTCTAGAAGAATCCAAGTAAACTCTCTTTAGAGTTTAGACACATCTACTGATAATCACTCATTCACTCCTCTTGGCTCATAAGGTGCCACAATATTAAACATTTAAACCTACAAACAAAGAAATTGACTGTAAAAAAAACAGGCAACCTGAGAGTGAGGGATAGCTCAAGTGATTAGAGCTTCCTTCCCGATTCCAGGAGATCCGGGGATCGACTCTCATCACCCGCTCTTGTGGCTCTCCAAACACCAGGTAACCCTAGTACGAATAAATTGCAGCTAAGAGAGCTAGCTTTTTGTAGTCATTAATAAGGTGAAAACATGTGGATGGCTTAAAAAGAATATTTGTACAATGGCTAATCAAAGAAAGTGCCTCTAAAATTTTCAACATAGTAGTATCACTTGGTCCTGAATTGTTGTTACCTTAATTATATGCATTTCAATTAAGAAGCCTTCTACATCTCCAATCCTAAACTAAGCCTCCCATACAGAACTAGAAATGCTTACAAATTTCTCATTCCTGAACTAAATCTCTAATTAACCCCATCAGGCATATTTCACATCACCTAGTCAACTGACAACATGAAGTGGGACATCCAGCCTTTTCTTTAATTATCAATGCATATGAACACATAACTCAACCATCTTAAAACAGTTCAGAGCTCTATTTTCATCCCCCAAATCCTTGTTTACTAAGTTCATTTCAATAAAATGTAATCACTCAGCAGTACTTCAAAATACCAGTATGAGTCCAGACGTTAATGACACCATTACCTAAATGAAGTTTTAAGCAATGCTCCTGCTTCGAGCATGATAGAGGGGGGCCAAATATACTCAAATACTTACCCCAGCAATAGCAGAGTACAGTACGTATAGGTTATGTGATACTCAATTCCGCATGAAGCACAATCAATGACGCATAACAGCATAAAAACTCAGCTTAAAAGTACCTCTTCTATGATTTTAACAGCAATCCTGTCTTTGACACTTCCTCCTGGATTCAAGAACTCAGCTTTCCCAAGAATCTGCTCAAACAAAATTAATCAGGGCTTTGCTTTGCTAATTGCTAGTACAAAACGTTCAACTAGTATTGGAAAGTGTTTAACAATCAGGTAAAACCCCTAATAAAGAATCCTCAATTCTTGACAAATAGTACCAAATCATCAAAATTAGCAAATTAAGGACATGTTACCACAATTAACATCGAACAATCAATCATTCAAAATCCCAACAAAAAGAATCCTCATATCTGGACAATTAGTGGCAATTCAATAAAAAAAAATAATTAAAAATAGCAAATTTACACACAACAGCAAAATTAACATCAAACAACCAATCAATCAACAACCCAACAGAAAAAATCCTCATTTCTGGACAATTAGTAGCAATTCAATCAAAAGAATTAGCAGTTTAAACACACATTAGAAAAATTTAACATTAAACAATACATCAATCAAAACCCCAACAACAAGAGTACTAATTTCTGGACAATTAGTAACAATTCTATCAATATAAATAAGCAAATTTAGCACATATTAGCAAACTTAACATTTAACAATAAATCAATCAAAACCCCAACAAGAAGAATCCTCATTTCTGGACAATTAGTAACAATTCAATAGAAAAGCAGCACCTTTAACACATATAAGCAAATTTAACATTCAACAATCAATCAAACAATCCAATCCCCAACAAATAAGCAAATTTTTTAATACCCAAGTCATAAAACTCCATAGAATCAAAAATCAAGCTAAGTACCTCGCAACCAGTGGCATCAGAAAGACTATTGATTCTAATCAAAGGGGTATTTCCAATTGCACCAACAATTCCACTTCCATGCTTTTTAGTGCAATTGGGATTTTGAGTTTTTGATTTGGGATGCTTGAAAATCCGTTGTTGGTTGAAAAGGAAGTAAGAAAGGGTGGCTAAAGAGAGAGAAAGAACGGCTACACAACCAACCATTGCGCCATTGGTGCAGTTTACCGGCGCCATGAGTGGCTTGATGGGTTGGACTGTATCTTCTCTTTCTAACCATTTTGGGTGCGATTGATTTTGTGGGTTTTAGACCGCCTTATGATTTGGAAATTCCAAGAAGTAAACCGCCAACCAAAGTTACAAATTTTGGGTTTGGACTTGGGTTTGATTTTAGACCCAATTATAGATGGATTATTGTTTGTTTTAGTTTTGGACTTTGATCAATACTTCTTAGATTAGATGAATTTTAAATCAAATTAGATTATAACACCTTATTTCAAATGAAATAATGTACTCGTAAGAGTTAATAATATTCTCCAATTTCATGAGGGATTAAGATAAGAGGTAAAGAGCTCCTTCTCAATATGGGGATCAAATCCTCATTTCCTCCTCTCTTAGCAAGGCTATAAATAATAGCATGAAAAAAATAAATAGATTCAACAATGAACAAATGGAGTAAAATTTTTAAAGGTGTTTAGTATTTTTGGTATTTCCTAACTACGGAGTAATTCTTGGGCATAATTTTATAATTAATGGTCATTTTTTTTTATTATTTATTTATTTATATTACAACATTGTTTGTTACACTTTTACATCAATAAAATTGACAGGCTAATTAATAAATAGCTACAAACAAGTAGCTTATTATAATCGTTCATCTTAATTAACATCACAAACGCATAATATAGACAAGATTTGATCTAAATATCCGCACTAAAGTACAATCATAATAACCTCCCACCTCATGCCATCATAGATTCATAGACAAAAGGCAAAAGAAAATTTTAGAATATAGTTTAGCAAAGGATGGTAAAAGGGACAATCAATTATTAAATGGGCATTGACTCCTAAAGACTCCTAATAAGATGACTTGGTCAAGGCAATGCAATTGACAAACATTAACTTAGATTTCACCAACCAAAAGATCCAACTTTCCAACAATGATGGTTGGCTCAAATTAAACTTCAAGCAATTAGAGAATCTAATTCCTACTATGCGCTGCATATGAGAGATATAGAAAAAGTTATTCTTAAATTATTGAGATTTCTTTAACTCACAATCCAAGTTATTCCTTAGATTCTTAAATGTCACTAGAAAAATGTTACAAAAAGAGATAATTGAATCTCAAAACATACAAAAATTAAAACACTTTTTAAATTATTTTTTTTCCCACTTCATGCAAGAAAAAGCTATGACGTGCATGCATAATTGCATATGTAGCTTATTAATTATGTGTACCAAAATTAATATGCTAACTAATGTAACTTTTGAGAGGAACTAATATGTAACTTATACAAGTATATATTATCCAAACAATTATCTAAATTCTACTAAAGGGTAATAAAATAATTGATATTCCACTAGAAAAATCAACTCCTCTATAAACGATGTCCTAGGAGTATGGACGTATAGTATGATTTCCTTATTAATTTTTAACTTGTGTGTTTTCACAAAATAAATTTAAATAAGATAAAATTAAATAAAAATTATATTTTAGTAAGTTTAGATATATTAAAACTCACTAATTTAGACAAAAAAAAAATTAATCAGATAAAATAAATTGAAGAGAACACAATGAAAATATAATCAACAAGCTATTATATTTGCTTTTCCTGATAATAATTCGTACTTCAAATATAAGAAGGTTGTTTATTAACACCGACCTTATGTTTTCTGGCGATGGTGGGGATCATTTGCAAAAGCTTTCGGTTGATAAACTGATTGATTTGATGCACATTACCAAAATAAGTACATCCAACATTATTGCTCATTTAATTAATTTGCTTGCCCATAAATTACAACAATATCATCTTTTTGCTCCACTACAATTTACATATGAATATAAATTTAAGTGGAAAAGCAAAGGGCCAATGAAAATTAGATTAAGTGGACCAACAACAATCTAATTCTCTGGTTTATTTAATGTTTTTCACTCTTCTAATAAGTCTTATATAAGACGGGCTAATATTAATTTATCATAAGTCAATTACTTAAGAATAACAACTTCAATAATTCTTATGTAACATTAATTTCTGTAAGGGTATTATTTTCACTAGTTTTGTACCCGTGCGATGCCCGGATTGTTTATTGAATTTTAAGATATATGTCAAATTTTAAAATATCTCATTGATACAAAATTAGTTAGGAATTGAAGTGTTGTTGTTGTGACGATTTGCTATCAAGTAGGAATTGGTAAAAATGTTCGATTTAATACATAAAAAAAAATAAAAAAAATTAGCAAAAAATAAATAAAATAAATGTTCAAAGCCCGTTGGGTTGACCCGGCCCGAACCCAAAACTTTAGGCAAGGGTTAAACATTTCGTGACTCGTAACCTGACAAGACTCAATTCAAGATGACTCATGACCCGACCCTAATTGACAGAGCTACATAGTTTTAAAATTCTATTAGATTATGAAGTATATTATTTTAACCGGTATGGATGTTTTACGATTTGAACTACTTCCTTCGCTACAAAAAATATTATGATATAAAAAATAAGTTCATATGATAATTTTTGTGAATTATAATCTAATAATTTTTTCGAATAAAAGTATAATTCACTTTGTACATCTAAAGTATTGATATTTTATCGAAAATAAAACTCTAAACTATCAATTTTATCCTAATTAAAATTCTATCCAAATAGAAACTTAAACTAACTTTATTTTTTATTTTATAAAATCTATTTAAATCTATCCATCGTGGCGCGACACTTGACATTCGACACTTGGCGAAAAGTTGGAATGTCAAGTGTCGATATCTCGTGACCTGGCTAAAAGTTTAGCTTTATATATTAGTTATATGATGTGTAATTTTTAATAATAAATACATGTTGAAATATGACTAATCTTTTCCTCCCATTTAGTCTTCCCCTCGGTTTTATACATTAAAAATATTTTTTTTTCGGGTAAAATTTATGTTAGGGATATGATAATTTTTGTGATACACAAGGGTAATTTTATACGTTGAGCAACTTTAACTCATCTTATAATAACATACTCCGTAATAATAAAAGTCCGCCTTAGCTTAATTTTAATCAAGAATTTGTGTTTCCATTTTCATCGTATTCAATAGTAACTTAAAAAGTCGTGATAATTGATAAATGCCACTATATATGCCTATATGGTTTATGACAATTTGTAAAGTATTGAATATTGGTAATAATGAAGCGTACTTAGACAAAGATTTATGCTAATAATAATGGAAATCACTCTTTAATTGAGAATTTAACTAGACATCAAGGTCAATTACCACGTCATATTAGATCCAATTTTCTCAAAAAGTAACAAAAACATTGGTAAAGTACTTGGAACAAACAACCGACACTGCAGTCATGTAGACAAAATACATGTGTATGCAAAAGTTTCCTGCTTTTAATTTTGTTAAATTTACTTATCTACCACCAAATGGTAAAAGAAATGGGTATATTCTTCGTTGATTTAATCGTGATTTTGATTGAATTTGGTTCATATTGTTGACTAGAGTCACTAGATTGAAATGAAATCAATCATAGTACTTTTGACACTAAATCTAGGTGTACCTATCTATGTTCCACTGGCTAAATAGGAAACTATGGTTAGCTTAGTTCCATTGATAGGTGGTACATTAAATCAAAGTAGGTTTGGAAATTTGGAATAACCTGGTTTCTCCATTACGTGTAAAATGGGTCATTTTAACCTCTTTTTAAGTATTGATAGATAAGATGTATAACGACCTATATGTGTCGCCTTGACTCCTGGCCTCCTTGTTTAAATTCAGAAATTTTAAAAGAAAATTAGGGCTCACTAGTATAATACGTGAGGTTGTGACTTATATCTTTTGTATCAGGTAGCGTTCTTGATTATGTTAGTTTGATCTAATACAAAATTATTGAAGCATGGCTAATTTGCTATCTTGACTTAAAATTGTCATACTTAATTGATTGAAACTCATCTTGTATTCAACTATCATCCTTTTAACGCTATATAGTACTTATACTTAATTTAAACATGCTATCATACCCCCTATATTTTTCTTGCGAAACTAATACCTTTATTACATAAATATAAGTGATCAAATATTCAATAATCCAATTTAAATTTGAATTTGGAAAAAAAATGTTAGATAAATTTGGATTATTGATGAACCAATAAGATTGTCAATTTGGTATAAACCATTTCCTATATATCAAAGACTAAGGGCCTGTTCTCATTGCCTGAACTCAGCTGAACTGAAATGAAATGAATATTTTATATGAGAAGGAAATTAGGAGCCGAATTGAAGTGAACTGAATTTCAACATATGAGAACAGACCCTAACTTATCTACAATTATTATTAAAATTCAAAGGGATAATATGATCAAATTGACAAACTATAATTAAATTTCAAAATAACTATAATTAAAATACAAGTAATGACTCAGTACATCGTTAGGGCCAAAAACTAGTTCAGAATCAATTACTAATTTTCATATTTTATTTAATTTCTATTAATTTATTGCTCTGTTTAATTTCTTATGTTTTGGCACAAATGATTATTTGGATCTACTTTCCTTTTATTTTTCCAATCAACTTTACCTTGTATTTGAAACACATAATCCAAACCCAAACTATGAAAAGCAACTTAACAAAAGTTAGACTCAAACCAAAATAGATCAACTTGATAGGCTAATCTCATTGATTATTATTATTATTATTTTTTAATTATAATGAAACTTTATATTAAAAATAAAATGATGAGTCACTCAATCATGACCTAAATTAAATGATTTCGAATCAAACATGATTCAAGCCACCCACTTACCACCTTACAATGGATAAAACTTAACTCGAACCCGACCCGAAACAAATTATGAGCCTAATTTACTAGAGACAGCTAAAAGGAGCAAAGGTGGAAAACAAACAAAGCATCAACACTATAGCACCATAAAAGCCACTCAGAAAAAAACAGGATCAAATTACACAGAGCATAAGTCTAATCTCAAGAAACCCCAAATAAACAAAAACTAAAAAATTTACAGCCCCCAATATTTGTCTCAGAGAATCTCTGCATAACTCAGTTCATCTCTTTCCTCTTTCTCTCTCCTCTTTTTCCTCTCATTCATTCATTCATATTCTCTCTCTAAATACCCAGAAAACCCTTCATCTGGGTTTTTTCTCTTTCATTCAAAAACCCCCCCAAAAAAAAAAAAAAAAACCCCAATAAAATCAGAAAAAATGGAGATCCCAGAACAGCTGATGAAGTTCAAATTCCATTTAATTGCTGGGATTTTATTATCTGGTTCAATTGTTACTTTAGTAAGTGTTGCTCCTAGATTTGTTGATCTTTTGGCTTATTTTTGGCCACTTTTAGCTTCAACGGCTCTATTTTTGGCGGTGGTTGTTGTGTTCAGCCGTGTATCGCCGCCGTCTGCCGACGCTCCCGGCGAGAAAGCCGCCGAGGGTCTCTTGGATTACGTCGCCGGACAACCGGAAGCATTTGTTGATACTTCAACCTTTAATGAGTGAGCAACAGTGACAAAATATAATGTAAAACTTTTTTATTTTTTTTATTTTAAATTTGTAGAGTAATAATTAATTCCTACTCCCCGTATTTCTCTCTTTTTTTCCATTTTAATTTCATTTCCTCTTATCTTTTAGAGTTTTAGACTTTCTTTGTGATTTGTTAGAGTTTTTATAAAGATGAAATGTAAATTTTTAGGGGAGAATAAAAAATTGAAATAAAATTAATAATAATGTTAATGTTTCCCTTTTTTTTTGGATTTTAATGGGGGTATTGGAAATAACTCTAAAGAAAAATGGAGATCCCATCTCTTTGTTAGACTTTACATGTGTGAAATGTTTTGATTGAAAAATTGACAAGTAATACTCGCTTTGCCTCGGAATCTATTGTCAGTTAAGTCCCGTTGACAGTGTAATTTGAAGTATTGAACGAACTAAGTAACGTGACAACTAAATCTCAAAAGAATAATTTTTATACACATTGACATTTTATAATGTATGTACTTTAGCATTATAAAGTTGAAGATATTAATGGGAAATAAATGGTTAATCAGAATAGTATGAATTTGTTGGTTTGTTTGGCAAGCTTTCATTTTCACTATCAATAAATCTATCCTAATTTGCAAGAACAGAGGCCTGGTTTCTTATCCTACGCCGTGGTGCTAAGTGCGCATTATAGTAAAAAGAAATAGAAGCAAAAATGGTAAAATTGTCATATAAATGTTATTAATTTAGGTACCATGGTTACTTTGCTAGATTCATAAGCATTGTATATTTGTATTTGCACTTCCAGTCACTCAAAGTTGGTAATACACAAATTCGACTTAAACCATGTTACAATTTGATTAGTGTATGTATTGGACCATTTGATCTACCTCCATTAACCTATGCTCGATTGATTAGTGTATGTATTGTACCATTTGATCTACCTCCATTAACCTATGCTCGATTGATTAGTGTATGTATTGTACCATTTGATCTACCTCCATTAACCTATGCTCGATTGATTAGTGTATGTATTGTACCATTTGATCTACCTCCATTAACCTATGCTCGATTGATTAGTGTATGTATTGTACCATTTGATCTACCTCCATTAACCTATGCTCGATTGATTAGTGTATGTATTGTACCATTTGATCTACCTCCATTAACCTATGCTCGATTGATTAGTGTATGTATTGTACCATTTGATCTACCTCCATTAACCTATGCTCGATTGATTAGTGTATGTATTGTACCATTTGATCTACCTCCATTAACCTATGCTCGATTGATTAGTGTATGTATTGTACCTTTTGATCTACCTCCATTAACCTATGCTCGATGAATCATGATGGGAATTCATAGTACAATGCTCGATAAGTAATGATGGGGTTAGTACGCAACATGGTTAGTTTGTTAGCTATACAAGAATGTGCCACCAAATATAGATTTATTTGATCGCACTATAAACCATCAGTAAAGAAAATTGTATATATGTACTCGATATTTGCCACTTTAAACCACCAAATTAATGGTTTTCAAATGCATGCAAACTTGCATATATCATCAAGGTATATCCTTTCTCTTTGCGATTGCAAACTTGCATAAATAGATTTCTCGGACAAAGATATCTAACTTGTATTTTCTCTTTTTGAAGCCACCCCTTATTTAGTTGTTGAATTAAAATATAAAATTGAAAAATAAATAAAATGTCTTCCCTAACTTTAACGAGACTCTAATTGAGAAATACCCATTGTTTAATTGTGGCTGTTTGAAGCCACCCCTAGTTATAATGATGCAACTAAGTATCTTTTGCCCCTGCCTAGAGGTGTCTCCTTCGGTCGGGTCGAGTCTATTTCGATAAAAGTTGAGTCATGTTAAATTAGTGTGTTCATACAAGTTGAAATCTGAATTGAGTTTTTCAAATTTGTTGTCGAGTATGTCGGATCAGCTTTTAACACCTCAACTTACTCATATCGAGGTGACATGTAGTTTGAACAATGGTGTAGATTTAACTCCTATAGGTAGTACTCTGTTAATTGTGTATTGTGTACTTTGAAAAATATGGTTTAGTATATAAGGTAGAGTGTAGTATTAAAAAAAATATTAAGTAAAGTCCAAAAAACAGAGCCTTGTTTAATTTGCTGAATCAAACAATCGATAGTGATTAGTTTCCTTCTAAAAATACAGAGTAAATTAAAGGTTGTGGTGGTATACCTTGAAGAGCTCCACAACCACTCCGTATATATGGTAAGATTGATAACAACTTTATGTAATAAAAAGCCACACATTCAGCCTGAACTTGCATAACTCATTACTCATTAGTAGTATATAATACATTCAACCTGAAAGTACAGCAATAAGCAATTGGATTGACGAGACATTCTCCAGACAAGAGGAAACGCAAGCTAGATATTACATATATTACACTCGAATTTTAATTCCTTCTTGTTCGTGCTCTTCTTCCTTTTCTACGTACCATATTGCTCGTCCCGAAAAAGTCAAGCAAAGCCAACTCCATTCTGTCAGCCAATTTGATTAACCAAAAGGGTTTTCCCACAGAAAACATGTAATATCCCCAAGCCAGCCCAACGACGATGCCAGTGCAAAATCCCATCACAATTGTTTCCCACACTTTCAATGTGCTCCCTTGATCTTCAGAATCATCTTCGTTGTTGATCACGAATGGTGTGCTATTTCCTCCACACTCGGGCAATGGATCCCCATACAATGCAAGATTCTCCTTGTATGAATCGGATGAGAATGTATTGAAGTTGTTCCCTTGAGGTATAGGCCCTTCCAGTTTGTTGTTTGAAACATTGAAGACCTCAAGAAAAGTTAAACTAACCAGTTCATGAGGAATGCGCCCACTTAGCATGTTGGAGGAGAGGTCCAAACTGTCAAGCGAGGACAATGATCCAATGGATGCAGGAATGTGCCCTGTAAGGCGGTTGTGTGAAAGATTAAGGCCTAGAATTGCAACCAATTGTCCTACATACTCGGGGATTTCTCCTTCAAATGCATTGTTTGATAGATAAAAAAAATAGAGTGTTTCAATGATCTTCTCATAAGGTAATTGCACATCTTTCAACGTCAGCTCGATGGAATAGTAAAATCCAGAATGCAATGATTCCATATATTGTGGACTACCATGGTGATCAATATTCTTTATCATGGCTAGAAAATTTTTAATGTAAGTTATTGGAATCTTACCGCTAAAGTTGTTACTAGAGAGGTTAAGAATCTGTAATGCGGGATATGGATGATGTTCACTTACATTATTGATGTGACCGTACAATTTGTTAGAACTCAAGTCGAGGACTTGAATTCTTTGAAGAGTATGCAACCAATGAGGAAATTCATCCATGAATGTTATTTCTAAGATTGATAGCTTGTAAAAATTCACACCGTGCCAAAGATCGAGGTAACCTCCCTTGCAACTTATTACTACTCAAGTCTAGATATTCTAATTTGTCACATTTGGAAAAGTTTGTAGGAAGAGTTCCATGAATGTTATTAGACCTTAAATTCAACACTTTAAGGCGACTACTTAAGCTTCCTAAACAATGTGGGAAATCTCCCCTCAAATTGTTGTTAGATAAGTCAAGAACCGAAAGTGATGTCAATCTGCAGATTGATGAATCTATTGGGCCCGTAAAATTGTTGTTTGAGGCTGCAAACAACACTGTCTTAGATGATGAAATGATTGGGAGATGTCCGGTAAAAGAGTTGTATGAAATATCCAAAATCATTAACGATTCCCTAACTTGTTATTGTAACCATTTAGGGAAGTCACCCTGAATACTGGTGTTGGATAACTCTAAACGTTGCAATGAATTAGCTAAAGTGGAGGTAATTGATCTGTCAACAGGACCATCAGTTATACAATGATGGGAAATGAAAGTTTATAGGGCCATTTGACCCGAGGTCAAGACTCTTTATATGAAAGTGAAGACAAGTTAGTGATGATTTGAAATATCTGTGACTCTAGTTTTATGGTCCTAAGATCTAGATGTTTCAGTTTAGTAAGGTTGCTAAATACCAGCTTGACATTTGAAATTTCAAGATCATTCCATGATAAATCAAGAGATGTCAATCTAGTAAGTTGAGATATTTCAAGAGGGACTCTACCAGAAAATCCTGAATCAGAAAGATCTAGGTGTTTAAGAAAATGAAACTGACCAAATTTGTGCGAAATAGTGGATCGAGAAAAATAATTTAAGGACAAATTAAGCCTTTGAAGCTGGCCTAGTTGGAAGAGACTGCTATTTGAATTGATGGTTCCGACGATCCCATTGTTGTAAAGGTCAAGTGCAATGACATGATGAGTAAGAGGATGACAAGTAATTCCATCCCATTCACAACAATCTGAACCTCTTTTCCATGATCTTGTGTTATTTCTAATAGTTATAAGGATCAACTTGTTTAAAGCTGATGAAGGATTCTTTTAAGTGAAGCAATGCATAATACTCGTCTTGATGACATTGGTTCGAAGAAGACGTATTACGGAGAGAAGGTGATGATGAGCAAGTGACAAATACAAGATTGAAGGCAAGGCATAGACATAGTAATAATGAAAAACTTAGTATTATGGAAGGGCTAAACATGGTATTATTTGGTGAAGTTTACAAGTGTTTTGAGTAATAATAACTAATAAAGTTGTGTACATATATATAGTTGGTTGTATTTGTACACACCAAATTTATAGAGCGAGAAATTGAAGTTACTAGAAAAGAGAATGCTTCAGTGCTTCCCTCAATAATTTTTGTTTTTATCTCAAGTCCTTGGCTTTTTTAGCTGAATTTATCTCATCTGTAGTGTGGTGTATGCTTAAATCAACAATAAATGAAAGAAACGCGTGAAGTTTGGACCGAGCCATTTATTTGTCGATGATGAAAAGGTTTTAGGAGAAATTTCCCCTCTTTTCCTTCCTAGTTCCTTATGAGGTCAGTTTTATATTAGTTAGATTAAAAAAAAAAGATAATACTTCATCAGTTCTGTTTTACTTGATCTGTTTTTTTTTATCACGTTTGTCAGTGCAAAACTTTAACGGTCAATAAATTTGATTCTCCATAATTAAAAAATATAAAAGTTAAACATTATGATAATACTTATTGAGACGAATTCAAAATGATGCAACATGAATATGTTTTTCCTTACATATTATTCACAAAACACGGTCATAAGAAGGGTGGTGAATAGTGTAAAAGTCAAAGAGGGTCAAGTAAAAAAGAACAGAGGAAGTACGGAGTACACTTGTTTTTATTTTATTTTATATGTGTTCGTAATTTTTTTTATTTTTTTTTAAAAAAAAATGTTACGGAGTAGTATTTTCCGAAGATACATATTAAGACAAAATTCTTTTATTTTTTTTTTTTTTAAAAAAAGTAAGATAAAAGACTCTATTGAACCGTAGTCAACCTAGCTCCGCGCAGGTCAACCTTTCCAAGCATTTTGTAGTTAGTGAGGCTTAAGGCATGTTCTCATTGACTGAACTCAGCTGAGCTGAACTGAACTAAACTGATGAACTGAAATGAATATTTTATGAGAGGAGGAAATTAGGAGCTGAACTGAACCGAGCTGAGCTGAGCTGAGCTGAACTGAACTAAACTGAATTGAACTGAACTGAATTTCAACGTATGAGAATAGACCCTTAAACTTATGACCTCAAAGTCACAAAATGAGTTTTCCACCAACTCCACCAAGTTTTGCTTGGTAGGCAAAATTGCTATATGTATATTTTTCCTTATCATAAATTACCTAAATACTACCTCCGATTTGATCGCATTATCTGCAACAATTTCCATTTATGGAAACTTCATATTATGTGCAACAAAAACCAAACTTAAAAGATATTCGATAAAAATCATAAATAATCCAAATTATGAGGTTAGTTAATATCATCCAATCCCTGAAACTTGTATAATTTCCAAGTTAAAGAATAATATATAGTGTAAGGCTAGAGCTTAACTTTCATTGTAATATTTGATTTTGTAGCTAATTATTACTGTGTCCTTGGGAAGATCTTCACCATACAAGCGTTTGTACAGCATGTATATTTAATAGTATGTGAATTTTACGTTCAGAAATGTGTATATACAGATCAAAGGGGTAAGTCAAAAATATATTCAAGTAAAGCGAATTAAATGGATTAAAATAAAAAAAAAAGCAAATATGTGTTTATAAATCAAGTTTTTAAAAGTCTTGGTAAATGAACGCTGAAAAAAATTAATTGTACAATAAGCTACTAGTTGTTCCAAATCACCAAATAAATGTGTTGGAAAATTTAAGTCTTGTATTTTGTCGAGAGTTGACCCACAGTCCAAATCATGACTTTGGTCGTCAACCAAATAAGACAATGACTTAGAGCATGTTCCCATACGTTTATTTTTAGTTAAATTTAGTTTAGCTCCTAATTTTCTTCTCTTATAAAATATTCATTTTATTTCAGTTCAGTTCAGCTGACTTCAGTCAATGAGAACATGCCCTTAAATTATAATTAAATTATGCATGAGAATGCTCTTTAGCTACGAGTATTTTTTACTACTTGTACTAATTACTTTCTCTAGTCTCTATATTATCATCACTTATAACTGGCCTCATTTTTCTCTAAAATTTCTACTCTTATTCTTTAACTTTTAACATGTAAGTGAAGAGGAGGTAATGCTACTCCTAAAATAGGAAAATTGTAAACTAATAATCCCACCTTTAGTGAGTCTTCTATAAATAATCCCACCTTTTGAAATTCCAGAAACAATCCCACCTTTGGTAGGGATCTTCCATTAACGATCCCTTTGACCTATAACCTGTTAAGCAGGTTAATTTTTTTTTCTTTTTTCTTCTACCTAATCTCTCTCATTGGGCCACCAATCCACCACCATAACTCCACCCTTCTCCCTCACGCACCAACCTGCTCACCACGTTCACCTCACCTGGAGGAAATGGCCTCGGAACTGCTTTCTCTTAAAGGCCAGGTGCAGGCTCTGGCAGAATCTCAAGCAACCGGATTTCCAGGCATGGAGGCAAAGCTTGCACAGGCTGAAGGCAAGTTTAGTGAAGGCAACAAGGAGATCTTGGAAACTATCAACAAAGTAGCCTTTGAGGAAGTCGAGGAAGACTCTATTGATCCCACAAATCCAGCCCTTGATCCTACCAATGTAGCCTTTTAAATCCTTGATTGCACTTATTCTAATTTCATATGTTGAACAATTTTATTTTGGTTTTGTTTAATCTCTCTGAACTTTGGTTTGTACGCCTTTATCCTTTGCTACATTCTCTATGTTCCTCTTCTATTTCCTAAATCGGAACTCGGCTCTTATTTTTCATATGATTGTGTGTGTTTGTTGATAATTCAATGCCTAACTTATATTTGCCTTGCATTATTTGAGCTCACTATTCCCTACGTAGTCTAGTGGGAGTATAACAAACTGTTTTTTTTTTTCAATCTTTTGATAATGCCAAAAGGGGGAAAAGACAAACTTCATGGCGGCTAAGGCGTGTACCAAGGAACTCACACATCGAAGGTATAATTTTAAGGAAAATAAAGTCCTAGTAGTCTAAGTTTTTTTAAGTTAATAAAGTCCTTGTTAATTTTTCTTTTGCTCAGTCTTTTTATTTTAAAGTACTTTTCTAAGTTCTTTAATTACTCTGTTTGTTTTTTTTTTAAGTTTTCATGTTTTGTTTTAAGTTTATGTTGCATGCCTGGATGATTTTATTTACCTAAGTTTGTCAATGTTTGTCATCATCAAAAAGGGGGAATTTGTTGACCCTTTTGGTTTTGATGGACAAATTGACAAACTCGACTAATGAGTGTTTTGAGTCTTTGGTGAATAAAGGGTTCAAGCAAAGTTCGTTCCGGAGTAGGAACTTGAATGCGGAGTAGCATTCTCTAAAAAGCCTCATGCAAATCTCACGTTCTAGTTTTAATTGTGAGCACTCAATAATATAAAGTCGGAAAGGAACTCAATGACTTATGTTATCAAAAAGACTACTGGAATAAAAGTTAGTTTTAAAAGATAATTCTTTTAAGGAAAAAGATATTTTATAAATGTTTTATCTAGTCCTCTATTTTCGAATAAAGATAATTATTCTTAGATAATTATCTTAATTGTTTTAAAATAAATAATTAATTTATCTTTTCAAATAAAATCCTTTTTAAAATAAAATCTTTTTAAACAAACTTTTGATAAAGTCAACAAGCAGTTTCGTTGTTGCAAAACTCTCTGATTATACGGTTTTATCAAAGCTAATATTCAGCAAATTGTTGAGATAGTGGATTAGTGAGAAAAGGCTAGGAAACCTCCTTCATGATCACCATCTATCAAGATAACTCCACAAGTTGTTAGTGGGGTGTTGGCATGTGGACGTGATTATAGTGGAGGTTAATGACTAAGCCTTCTCTATAAATACTCATGCAAACTATCTCAGAAAAACATAACTCTTGAGCATAAAAATTCCAGTAGCTATCTAATAACATAAAGAGAGTTATTTTCCTTCATATATTCTTGAGTGTAATAGGTATTTGTAATTACAGATTGTATTCAAGCACTTTGGGGTTTGGGATTGTGAGTTTGTGTAAGGTGAGGTCAAGGAAGCTTCGCTGCTGAAGTCTTCTGTGAGAGTTGGGAACAAGTTCCTAGTTTATGGAACTTGTTAACGGGTTTGAATCTTCACTTGTAAAGAGTTTGATTACATAGTGGAAATTTAGAAAAGCCTATATCTTCTCTCGTCATTATTTCATTTAGTTAAATTCCGCAAAAGTTTTTAGATTTCACCTCAAATACAATTCACCCCCCCTCTTGTATTAGCCAGTTAGACTTTCAAGACAGCCTTCCACAGCTACAAGTTCTCAATCTCCGCTTTAATAACTTCCATGGTCCTCTAGTTAGCGTATCAAAGGTTAAGCATCCATTTTCAAAGCTTCAAATCTTTGACATCTCAAACAATGATTTCTATGGCAAGTTGCCTTTAAGATATATCGATAATTTTGCAACCATGATGAATATGAATGAGTCTAGTCTTGGGAATCCACAATACATGGGTGCCAAAGGCTTTACATACTCATATTCCATCGAGATGACATTCAAGGGACGACAACTACTATACATGAAGATCATCACTACTATGTCGACTTTGGATATGTCCAACAACAAATTTGAGGGAGGAATTCCGAATTCCATAGGAAAATTACACTCACTCCGAGGCCTTAATCTGTCACACAATCTTCTCACTGGTAGCATCCCTCCCTCAATTGGTATGTTGTCCTTGCTCGATTGTTTGGACCTTTCATCAAATAGGCTCATTGGTCATATTCCTCAAGAATTGACCAGTTTAACTTTTCTTGAGGTCTTTAATGTGTCAATGAACCTACTAAAAGGTCCTATACCTCATGGGAACAACTTTAATACGTTCTCAGCCGATTCATACAAGGACAACCTTGGATTGTGTGGACAACCATTGCTTGAGTGTGGAGCTAGTCGCGTACCATCTATGAACAACACCGGAGATGATGATGAAGATCTTTCTAACGACGATGGGAATACATTATCGATGTGGGAAATCGTGATGATGGGATTTGGTAGCGGTGTGGTGGTTGGCTTGGCTTGGGGATACTATATGCTCTCTGTAGGAAAGCCCTTTTGGTTTATCAAGCTTTCTTACAAAATGGAGTTGGCTTTGCTTGGTTTTTGGGACCAGCAATTTGGTTGACGAGGAAGAAGAGCAAAATCAACAAGGAAGTAATAAATTCGTTCAAGATTTTTTGTGACTTTACGATCATCTTACACATAACACACTTAAGTCTTACTTCTCTGTAGTATTTTTTTTTTAATTTCTCAGAAAAATGCTATCACAATATATATGAAAAAATAAAATGTCACAATCTTACGTTGTTACATATTATTGATGATGTGTTGAGTAGAGATCGATTATGATATGATTCAATCCCTTACCCCAATTTAATCTTTCAATCTCAAATTTTCAAGGTAAAGTTAGTTCCTTTAGGTCGCCGGGAAACCGGAAGCATTTGTTGATAGTTCAAGCCCGAATGAGTGAGCACTTGGTAATTTTACACGTCTATGAATCTGTTAATTTTAAGAAAATTTTGTGAAAAACTACCGATTATAGTTCAGAATTTGCGAGAAACTACCTATTAAAAAAAATATTGTAAATGACTACCTAATTTTTGAAAAATGTTGTAATTTACTACCTTACGCCGAATTATGAAGGAGTTTAATCAAAATTCTCCGGCGTCACATGATACTTAATGACCCTTTTCTTTCTCAAATTTTCTCACAATTTTCCCACGTAATGGTCACTAAGTGTCAGGTGACCAAGTCAACGCCGGAAAATTTTGGTCAAATTTCATAATCCGGCGTAAGGTAGTAAATTACAGCATTTTTCAAAAGTTAGGTAGTCAGTTACAACATTTTTTTAATAGGTAGTTTCTCGCAAATTCCGTACTATAATAGGTAGTTTTTCACAAAATTTCCTAATTTTAAACAAAGTTTTAGATTGGAAAATTGACAGGTAATACTAATACTCACTTTGCCTCGGAATCATTTGTCAATTAGTCCCGTTGATAGTGTAATTTGAAGTAATGAACGAGCTAAGTAACGTGATAACTAAATCTCGAAAGGAATAAGATCTTAATAAAATAATTTTATGCACATTGACATGTTATAATGAAATCCATATGTACAATTAGCATTATAAAGTTCAAGATATTAATGCATGGGAAATAAATGGTTAATCAGAGTAGTATGAATTTGTTGGTTTGTTTGGCAAGCTTTCACTTTCACTATAAATAAATCTATCATAACTTACAAGAACAGAGGCCTGATTTCTTATCCTACGCCGCGGTGCTAAGTGCGCATTATAGTAAAGAGAAATAGAAGCAAAAATGGTAAAATTGGCATATATATAAATGGTCTTAATTTAGGTACCATGGTTACTTTGCTAGATTCATAAGCATTGTATATTTGTATTTGTATGGTAATACACAAATTCGACTTAATCCATGTTACAATTTGATTAGTGTATGTATTGTACAATTTGTAATTTTGGACAAGGTTAGTTAGCAGTAGGATTGAGATTAGTTGGCTAATATAATCCTCAGACATATTGTTGATCATATAACAAGCATTTATTTGATCTACCTCCATTAACCTATGCTCGATGAATCATGATGGGAATTCATAGTACAATGCTCGATAAGTAATGATGGGGTTAGTACGCGACATGGTTAGTTTGTTAGCTATACAAGAATATGCCACCAAATATAGATTTATTTCATCACACTATAAACCATTAGTTAAGAAATTGTACATATGTAATAGATTTATAATCGCGGAGATTTCAATCATAGATTTCTTAACTTGCGAAGATGAAAGTACTCGATATTCACCACTTTTAACCACCAAATCAAAGGTTTTTCAATTAGATGCAAACTTGCATGAATCATCAAGGTATATCCTTTCTCTTTGCATGATTGCAAACTTGCATAAATAGATCTCTCCCGACAAAGATATTGTCGCCTTATGCCCTGGAAGTCGTACCTAAAGTGGACTAGTTATGATATTTTTGAAGCCACCCATTGTTTAGTTGTGAATTAAAATACAAAATTGAAAAAGATGTCTGTCCTAACTTTAACTGACACTCTAATTGACAAATACCCTTTGTTTAATTTTGATTTTTAGAGACACCTCTTGTTATAATGATGTAACTAAGCATGTTTTGCCCCTGGCTAGGTGTCAACTCGGGTATTTGGGTTAGATCGGATCTATTTTAAAATTGAGTCAGGTTAAATGATTTTGTTCATATAAGTTGAAATCTAAATTGGGTTTTTTCAGGTCGGTCAGATCAGTTTTTGACACCTCAACCTATTCATATCGAGGTGGTAGATAGTTAGGGCATGTTCTCATTAACCGAACTGAATTGTACTTATTAGAGCTGAAATGGACTGAACTAAACTAAGAACTAAACTGAACTGAACTAAATATTTTTAAAAAGAAGAAAATTAGGAGCTGAACTGATTTGAAAATAATCATATGAAAACAGGCCCTTAGTTTGAACATTGGTGTAGTGTTAAATCCTATAGGTAGTACTCTGTATCCTACACCACCTTTTCTTATGTATATAATGTTGTAATGTGTAGTTTGAAAAATATTATTTAGACGTTTAGTATAATTGTATAAGGTAGAGTGTAATTCGAAAATTATATATTGAAGTCCAAAATCCGGGCCCTATTTAATTTACCGAATCAAACAATCGATAGAAATTATTCCCCTTCTAAAAATACAGAGTAAATTAAAGGTTATGGTGATGGTGGTCTACCGTGAAGAGCTCCTCATTTCAAACCCTTCCTTATCGCTCCCATCACTTTAGAAATAAGTGAAAATAAGCCGAATATGGTCTAAGCCCAGTAACACAGGTCCAAACAAGTACAACCACTCCGTATCAAATTTGCTTGTGAATTAAAATTTCTAATATTTGGGTTGATCCAATTTGGTTCAGACTTGATGAAAAGCCATCATGCATTCATTGAACATACATGGTGCTGAAAGTAGCATTATCATATCATAAATTAGTATACATGACAACAACTTTCTGCTTATAAAAAACCATACATTCAACCTGAAACTACAACAACTAGATTGATGAAACAATCATCAGACAAAAGGCAACGCAAGCTATATATTACATATATTACACTCGAATCTTAGTTTGTATTCCTTCTTGTACTTGCGCTTCTTCCTCTTCTATATACCAAATTGCTAGAATAATCAAGCAAAGCAAATTCCATTTTGTCAGTCAACTTGATAAACCAATAGGGTTTTCCCACAGAAAACATATAATATCCCCAAGCCATCCCAACGACGATGCCACTGCAAAATCCCATCACAATAGTTTCCCACACTTTCAATATGCTCCCATGATCTTCTGAATCATCTTCGTCGTTGTTCACGAATGGCATGCTATTTCTTCCACAATCAGGCAATGGCTTCCCGCACAATGCAAGGTTCCCCTTGTATGAATCGGATGAGAATGTATCGAAGTTGTTCCCCTGAGGTATAGACCCTTCCAACTGGTTTTCTGAAACATTGAAGACTTCAAGGAAAGTTAAGCTAACCAATTCATGAGGAATGCTCCCACTTAGCATGTTGGAGGAGAGATCCAAACTGTCAAGCGAGGACAACAATCCAATGGATGGAGGAAGGTGCCCTGTTAGGCGGTTGTGTGAAAGATTTAGGCCTTGAATTGCGATCAATTGTCCTACATACTCGGGGATTTCTCCTTCAAATGCATTGTTTGATAGATCAAAAAAGGAGAGCGTTTCAATGATCTTCTCATATGGTAATTGCACACCTTTGAATGTCAACATAATGGAATAGTAAGGCCACAACATTGGTACATCTGATTCCATATATTGTGGAAAACCATGGTGCTCAGTAATCCTCGTCATTGCTTGAAATTTATTTATGTATGTTGTGGGTATCTTGCCGCTGAAGTTGTTACTTGAGAGGTCAAGAATCTGTAACGCAGGATATGGATGAAAACCACTCACAGTATTGATGTGACCGTGGAAGCTATTAGAGCTCAAGTCAAGGAGTCGAATAAATGGAAGAGTATGCAACCAATACGGAAATTCATCCTTAAGCTTGTTACTTTTAAGATTGATAGCTTGTAAATTTGTGCATCGTGCCAAAGATCGAGGTAACTTCCCTTGCAACCTATTACTACTTAAATCAAGGTATCTTAAGCTATCACACTTGGAAAAAGTTATAGGAAGAGTTCCATGAATGTTATTCGATCCTAAATTCAACAAATTAAGGCCATTACTTAAGCTTCCTAGACAATGTGGGAAATCTCCACTCAAATTGTTGTTAGATAAGTCAAGAACCCAAAGTGATGTTAAATTGCAAATGGATGAATCAATTGGACCTGTAAAATTGTTGTTTGCAGCTAAAAAGAATTGGGTGTTAGGTGATGAAATGATTGGGAGACGTCCTGTTAGCTTATTATTAGAGATTTCGATATAATTCAATGTACCCCAAGGGAGGTTTTCAAGAACTCCGGTTAAAGAGTTGGATGAAAGATCCAATAAATTTATCGACGATTCTCTGATTAGTTGTTGTAACCACTTGGGGAACTCACCATGAATACTAGTGTTGGATAGCCCTAGATTTTGCAATGAATTAGCTAAAGTGGAGATAACTGATGAGTTTACGGGACCATTAGTTATGGTCACGGAAAGGCCACTGTTAGACAAGAAAAGAGATCGGAGCTTTGGAAGGTTAGAAAAAACTTGGTAAAGGCTAACACTACCCCTAAAGTTATTGAATGAGAGGTTAATCGTGTCCAAAGATTTTAAGCTAAACAACCAAGCCGGAACTTCTCCATCAAGCATATTTTTTCCTAAATATAGAGTAGTTAAACTCGAGAGCTTGCTTATGTTCATTGTGGAAGGAAGACTACCGGTTAGTTCATTATGACTAAGGTCTATCTTTTCGGAAATATTCCACACCCAAGTTGGAAAAGTCCCTCGTAGATTGGTACTCTGCAAATATAATGATTTCAAATGTTTAAATCGAGCAAAAAAAGAGGGTATGTTAGAAGAAAAATTGGAATAGCTAAGAGTTAAGGATTCTAAGGGGCTACTCCAATTGTACAATGATGGGAAATGAAAGTTTATCGCGTCATTGTACCCTAGATTGAGTTGCTTTAGGTGTGGTAGGTTAAGAATGCTTGTAGGGAACTCCCCTTGTAAATTGCATCCTTCAAGATTAAGATATGAAAGTGAAGACAAGTTAGAAATGGTTTGAAAAATGTGTGATGTCTCTAGTTTTATTCCACTTAGACCTAGTAATTTCAGCTTTGTAAGGTTGCTAATGATCAACTTGACATTTGAAAATTCAAGATCATTTCCTGATAAATCAAGAGATGTCAATCTAGTGAGTTGAGATATTTCAAAAGGGACCTTACCAGAAAAATAAGAATAAGAAAGGTCTAAATGTTTAAGAATATGAAACTGACCAAATATGTACGAAATATTGGATGAAGAAAAATCATTCCAAGACAAATTAAGCCTCTGGAGTTGGCCTAGTTGGAAGAGATAGCTATTTGAATTGATGGTTCCGACGATACCATTGTTGTAAAGGTCAAGTGCAATGACATGATGAGTAAGAGGATGACAAGTAATTCCATCCCATTCACAACAATCTGAACCTCGTTTCCATGATCTTGTATTATTTGTAGTTATAGGGTAATAGGTATTAGCTCGTTTAAAAAAGCTGAAGGATTCTTTCAAGTGAAGCAATGCATGATACTCATCTTCATGACATAGGTTCGAAGTGACAAATACAAGATTAAAAGCAAGGCATAGACAAAGTAACGAAAAATGTAGTATTATGGAAGGGCTAAACATGGCTTTAATTTGGTCAAGTTTACAAGTGTTTGAGTAATAACTAAAGTTGTGCACTTGTAGTTGATTGCACTTGTACTGTACACACCAAATTTATAGAGAAATGCTTCACTCAATGATTTTTGTTTTGATCTAAAGTCTTTGGCTTCATTTAGCTGACTTTATCTCATCCGTTGGGCCAAGCCATTTGTTGATGATAGATAAGTACATAAAATATCTAGCCAGTACTTGTCAAATTTTCATGACTTACACTAAATAATACACCTGTTTTTTCTTAAATATTCGTTACACTTTCAACTTTTCACACTTGATATTGTAAAATCTTGACTTATAGCATCTCTAATTATGTGTTATTATTTTGTCAAAATATAAAATAAAAAAAAAAAATACAAGTACTCCATAATATGACAACTCTAGAGATATTTGTACGTAATAAGATCCTTCTAATAATATTTTTAGCTGTAAAGATATACGACAAAAATCATGAATTATCCAAAATTATGAGATTAGTTAATATTATCCCTAAAACTTGTACGGTATAATATCAAAGTTAGCAAAAATAATAGCGTAAGGCTAGTATAGAGCTTAACTTTCATTGTAACATCTGATCTTGTAGCTAATCCGTACAAGATGCTGTATATATTTCAGGGTATAATTAACCAATAAGATTATATTTATGTTTAGAAATGTGTATGTGGTGAAGGGGTAAGTCAAAAATTAAATCAACTAGTTTAGGTCCCGTGTTACGCACGGTAATTTTTAAAAAATAATACCCCCTTATCAATTTTAAATTTAATTGGTTATTTTACAAAAAAATTTAAAATCTAAAAAAAAAATTAATAAATATACACACTACTTTGATGAGAATTCTAATCAATAAATGAACAACTATTTTTATTGAAAAAAAATATGAACACTTCCTTGAAGTACATTAAAATATGTTGCAAATTATGTTAATATTATCTATAATAGTCATAAATGTTTGTGTGAAAAAATATATTAACTCTTTTTTATATCAAATATTTTTTATTCAAAGTAATTATCTTTGTTAAATTATATAAGAAATTATTTTTGTATAAGATTTATATTATAATTAAAATTTTTTCCAAAAAAAAAAAAAACTAAGGACACACCAGGAAATGACACGTGTCATTGCTGGTGTGTCTTTTAGTATATAGTTATTGATCAAGTAAAGTGAATTAAAATAAAAAAGTAATTTTGTACTTCCTCTGTTCTTTTTTACTTGACCTGTTTCTTTTATTACGCTTGCCAATGCAAAACTTTAGCGATCAATAACTTTAATTTTTCATAAGTAAAAATCATAAAAGTTGTATATTACAATAGTACTTATTGAGACGAGTTAAAAAAGATATCATATAAATATATTTTTTTTTCTTACATATCATTCACAAAAGACGGTCAAAGGAAAGGTGGTGAATAGTGTAAAATTCAAAGCGGGTCAAGTAAAAAAGAACGGAGGAAATATGGTAAATGCACATGTTAGATTAAATTGTACAATGAGCTACCTGTTTCAAATCACCAAATGAATGTGTTGAAAAACAAATTAGACTTTCTACTTTGTTGAGTGTTGAACCAAATTCCAGATAATACTTTAAGGTCAACTAAAGAAGATATTGACTTAAATAGTAATCAATTAAATTGTGCATGACAGCATGAGTGATGTTCTTTAGCTATTTTCGATCCACTACTATTTTTGCTGATTCAACTTACTCTTCTCAGGAAGCTCCTAATCTCACTGGCAGTTGAATCATGTCATTAAAGGAAAAAATCAAAGTCGTCCACTTTGTTCAATTTTTAGTTATTAAAAAAATATTCTAAGAGGGATTACATTAAGAAAAAAAAAAGGTGCTAATAGGCATAAATTATAATTTTTTCATTATATATTATATACAAAAGTATTAATTAACCAAGTTTTCCTAAATAGCAAATATAACTAAGCCAAAGAGTACTAAAAGTTAATAACGTATGTTCCTTCTGCTATCAAAATTTTCTATCTTACTTCCTTCATCTTGTCTATCTTGAATTTGCAATTTCTTGTATATCCTTCTCCAGTTCTATCTATCCTGCCAGCAATCAAGAGATTAAATAGGTAAGCTGAAATGTGTACATGAACAACAACTACACAATAAGATCCTATTTTGTCGGATCATGGAGGTATAAATATAAGTGTTCTTACTCCTAATTAACCCTTATTAACCAAACATCTTATTCTATACTATCCACCAGACCACGCACTACTACTCTACTTTCAACATCACAAAGACACCGCAATTCAAAAAATTTGGAGAAAGAAGATCACAAAGTATAGCAGTTACTTTGTATATAAGAATAACAACAATATCGACTTGACTATAATCCATAATTCGAGGTCTATAACCAATTACCATGGTCATGAGCAAACTTTTGGCTGCCAGAATACCAAAGAACTAACTAAAAACAACTAAGTGGAGTTGACCAAAAATTAACCCAAATTCAAACCCAACATAAAATTAAATCACAAAAATTTATTAAAATTCGATGTACAGTATCATTATTGTAAATCGGCTTGCTAGAAAATATTACCTCTATCATGCATCAAGGCCAATCTTCTCCATAAGTAACCGAAGCTTTTGTTCTAGGTCTTCTTGTTTCTTCTTAGACTCTTTCAATTCTGCTCGCATCAAATTATTTTCATTCTGTAGTTTTTCAACATTATGTTCCAGCTCAGCTCTTCCTATATTTCCATCTTCAGATGACACCGGGTGCCCTTTGCCTACAGTGGCGGACCCAATTAAGTGACATGGGGGGACAGCTGTCCCCCCATTTTAAAAAAAAAAAATTTAAAAAAAAAGTGAAAAAAAAAAAAAGCAAAACGCGACAGAACGAAGAACAACACTCAGTCTACAGTCTTCACTCCTCCAATTCGCCATTGCCTCCACTAGTCCACTGAGATCGACCGTCGAGGCGTGCGTCGCTGCTCAACCAACCAGGCAACCACCGCCCTGCGTGCGTCGCTGCTCCTCAGTTCCTCACCAGTCTGCCAGTCACCACAGCACCACTTCGGCAAATCGGCAGTTCGGAAGCCACTTCACTAGCTGCGTGCGCCGCCTGCGCGCTGCCTACGCCGGTACGCCCTCATCGTCTGACCTTCGAGCCTCGGCCGTCTTCGCTTCATCAAATCCATCAATGGTATGTCTTGCTAACCCTAATTCGAAATTCCCAATTTGAAATCCCCAATTGTTAACCCTAATTTCCAGTTTTTTGTTGAATCATTGTTAATTTTAATTGCAATCTTTGTTGAATTTTTATTTTAATTGCAATTTTAATCTTAGGTTTTATTAGTATGCAATGATGTGAATTGTGGAAATTGATATATATTTTTCAATTTAATTAGGAAATGTCAAATGATTCACCTAATTCAAACAAATCCAAGCCTACTAGAAAACAACCCGATCTTCGACAATTCATGTTTAAAAGAAAGAAATTCCATGAAAATGAGTCCAATAACTCCCCTTCATTAAGCTCCCCTCAAAGTCAAGAAGATGATTTGAAATGGGTGGTTCAAGTACTTGTAATGTACCATTGGAGGAAAATTTGGTATACGATGTTGAACTTCTTCCTCATGATCCGGGAAAAAGTATAAACATAATGGATTACCCCCCAAATGAACGAAATGCAGTTAGGAGGGGTTATATTCTTAAAAAACCTTGCCAACCAAAAACACATGACTTTCCTCAAAGACAAGTGTCTGGTTTACGTCGCTTTAGTGTTCATTGGTTCAAGAAATGGGATTAGCTTGAGTGTAGTATTGAAAAAGATGCCGCATTTTGTTTTGTATGTTACTTGTTCAAGAATGAAGTTGATAGTTATTCGGGGGGTGATGTATGTTACTAAGTATTAACCAATTTGTGTGTTTGAGTTTTTTTTTTGTTTTTTTTTTTTCTCCGACCCTTACTGCCCAACCTGGGAGCGGACAGCTAATGCGTTCCACTTATTGAATTGAACAGGGTTCTATGGTCGGCCCGTGACCCCTGGATGCCGAAGGCGTCCTTGGGGTGATCTCGTAGTTCCTACGGGGTGGAGACGATGGGGTCGGAGTTAAGCTTTTTGTAAGTTAAGCATTTTGTCCCCCCGAATTGAAAATCCTGGATCCGCCACTGTTTGCCTAAACCTTCAACCTTCACATAAGTTTCTTCAAGAGTAAGATTATCAACCCCCTTTTCACTAATTTATTTCTCATGCAACTCCCTTAATTCCTTGAACTTCTCCTCAGCCTCATCGTCAAACTTCTCTTTTTTAAGAATAAATATTCAATTAAGAATAAATAAATTTTCAAACAAAACATGGCATTTCATAAAAAATTAAAAATAAATAAGAGCAACCTTTTCCAAATTAAGAATAGCATATATATTTCCTAAATGTTAGAGGTTGCAAAGTAAGAGCAACCTTTTCTGTGAATGAGTAGTTATGAGGTAAAGTGAGAATTATGGATCAAGAGAAAATATGAGAAATACAATATTGTCCCCATTTTATTAGATAAAAAGACAGATTTAACCCTTTGAGATACATGTCAAGTATCTCAAGAAGAGAAACTTGGATTTACCCGTGGAATTCCATTCTCGAATACGCGACTTTTTCACCTTGTTCACCATCTACCCTTTTTAATTCGATGTTCCTTGCAAAAACTAGTATATGCACCATTGTTTTCTCTCTTTCTCCACTTCCTCTCCTCTTTTTCTATCACTGCCCCTAGCCTAGGGTTCACCGGCTTTTTTTTTTTTTTTTGTTGGGCCCAAACATTTTAATACTAGGTTAGCTCTTTAATAACTATTTTTAAAACTAACACTATATTTAAAAATTAAAAAAAAAAAAAAAACTTTCATATTATATTCATATCATTTGAATTGAATAACAAAATTTGGCAAGAAAAAATCACACTAATAATAATCAACCTGTATCAGTCTTATTAAGTTTTATTGAAGTATCCATAGTTAATTATAGTA